TATTAATAAAGAAATTATTAATAAAGAAATTATTAATAAAGAAATTATTAATAAAGAAATTATTAATAAAGAAATTAATATAATAATAAATATATATACAATAATACATACGCCATTCTGGATCAAGTAAAGTTAGGTCTTTATTATTCTCACCACCATCAATAATGATACTTTCAGACCGTCCAGTAGTTTTATCAACAGCAGAAACCTGTTTAAAAAAAAATTAAAAGGTGAAATGCTAAGAAATTACACAAGTTAAAAGACTAAAAGACTGATTATAAAAAAACAAACATTCAGAATTTTACGAGCACACAGGGCAAAAGTAATTTCAATTTGTGGCACACCCCGAGGAGCTGGGGGAATACCCGTTAAAATTAATTTACCAAGAAGGTTATTATTTTTTGTTAGAGCACGTTCACCTTCATATACTTTAATAAGTAAACCAGGTTGATTATCACTATATGTAGAAACGATCTCTGACTTTTTGGTAGGAACTGTGGTATTTCTTTTTATAATTGGTGTCATAACTCCACCAGCAGTTTCGATACCAAGAGATAAAGGTGCAACCTCAAGCAACAGTAGATTTTGTAACTTTTCTGATTCATCACCAGACTTTATAGAGGCATGTACTGCAGCACCGAAAGCAACAGCTTCATCAGGATTAATAGATTTATTTAACTCCTTTCCATTAAAAAAATCTGAAATAATTTTTTGAACTTTAGGAATACGAGTAGATCCACCGACTAAAATAATTTCATGAACAAGATTTTTATCCATTTTGGCATCTTTGAGAACTTTATCAATTGGATCGAGAATAGAGCGAAATAAACCTTGATTTAATTCTTCAAATCGCAAACGTGTCAAAGAAGTGTAAAAATCAATACTCTCAAAAAGAGAATCAATTTCAATATTTGCTTGAGTTGTGACAGAAAGTGTACATTTTGCACGCTCACAGGCAGCTCTAAGACGACTCATTGCACGACCATCTACAGTGAGATCCTTTTTAAACTTGCGTCTAAATTCTTGAACAAAATGTTTAACAATTCGAAGATCAAAATCATCGCCACCAAGATATAAATTACAAGCAGCTGCCTTCACTTCAATAATATTCTCTTCAAC